TGTTGTAACCAAAGTTTTTGGCCCACGCTATCATGCAACCTTTAACATTTTCTTCTTCTAATGTTACTTCTAATAAATATCGCAATTCCCATTTTCTAGCCCAGTTCCTTAACCACGTATCAAACGGATTCCAATGCTGAGTTATCTTTTTGTGCGTTTTTCCCAGACTCACAATTTTTTTTTTGTTCGAGAAACAAACGAAGACGGTTATTTGTCTCAACTTCCATCTTTTATTCTTGTTTTAGGTGATATTTGAACTCAGCCCCATGCAAAGAGAGTGGCAAAGGTAATAATTCAGTAATTATCATCATTACGATTTCACTGGGATTTACAGTCACAAAGAAAAAGCAGGAGATTCCCCCCCCCCTCAAAAAAAGAAACCACAAGATAGTAAGGGAGGGAGGAGAACGGGGAAAACCCTGGGAAAAGATTCCAGAAGAATAAAAATGAATACTCTGAAGAAAAAGATAATATAACCATAAAAAGAGGAAAAAGAAAAAGAAATTAGGAGAAAGGGGGAGAAGAAGAAAAATGATTAAAAGTGGAATTCTTGAGAGCCCAAGAGAAAATGAATAAAAGAGGAAGAAAGGGAAAAAGAGTTTTATTAGTAGATGAAAGGGAATAGTAGTATGATTAGCATTGTTACGTAATTAAATAAGAAATAAAGAAAGCATTGTATATTGTTAATTGTAGAACAAATTGAAAGAAATGCTCTCTCTGTTAAAATTTAATTAGAGGATATATCTTGTTTGTTAGTAAAATAGACCAATAGAGAAATACGAAATGAGAATTTGGTGTAATTTTTGAAGGGGCAACTGAAGATGTTGTTTATGTATTAAGAAAAGAAGTATAAAAATGGAGAATAATGAAAGAACATAATTTGGCTGAAAGTGAAAACCAAGCTTTGATGTAAAATGGATTAGGTAAATGAGAGGATGTAAAAGGAAAAGATCCAATCAACGCTTTGTTTCTATAATAGGCGTAAATTTGTATTAAAAAATAAAAATCTTTGGGGGGAGGAGAAGTAATTATAATCATCATAATTCATGTCCCATCCAAAGCCACCTTAGTTCAGCTTTAAACGGGCTAAGTGCTTCAATCATTTCACTACAGCTCTGCAGTATTCACTACTAATGTTGCCTTATTGTGCAAACTGGGGGTGGAGTGAAAAGAGGCATCAGCCTAGAATTCCTATGTAGCCACAAGAGAACTAAGTCCAACCTCCTTTGAATACCATTGACGGTTATCTAAATCTAAGCAGGTTGGGAAGATTTGTTGATTAGTTGAGAAAATTCTGGTGCAATCCTTGGCTTTTAGCAACAGGCCAGTTTATTTGAACCTTAACATGTCTTTCATGGCTGATAGAATTCTTTATTGGCCAAGTGTGATAAAGAATTTGTCTCCAGCAACCAAGTGATAAATCACGATCATAATTATCATAAAAAGAAGATTCATGAGGTTCAACACTGAGTGACAGTCATGGGATACCAAATAAGCAGTCGACATAAATCATACTAGGATACTAAATAAAATAATGTAGATCATAAGATACAAGCAACAACGTTATAGTCATAAGGAGATAAAGAAATAGCTAATAGGAAAGATGAGAAGGATATTAATATAGCCCTACTAAGCAGTTTGACAGTGTTGTGAGAATTAGTTGTTTAGCAGAGTGATTGGGGGGGGAATACACACACACATATATAACTATATAATATACATAACTATAACATAAGATAGATAGATAGACAGAGAGACAGACACAGACAGACAGACATATTGAGATAGATTGATGATAGATAGACTGATGATAGAGAGAGGTGATAGATTGACAGACAGACATGATAGATTGATGATAGATAGATAGATAGATGATACATAGATAGATTGATTGATAATATATTGGTTATAGATTGATAATAGATAGATAGATAGATAGATAGATAGATAGATAGATAGATAGATAGATAGATAGATAGATAGATAGATAG